ATTGGCGACATATCTGTTTCTGAAACGCTTATTTATCTTTACGAATTTAAAATTTTAAGCCTTTAAATTCTTTCTTCGTCAAAAATACTGTATCTAATGCAGGGGCAACTCACTTTCTAAGCTTTTTGGAAAAATTTCTTCCTATAGTGACTCAGGTTATGTTTTGATGTATTATTCTTTGTTATGCGAATTCAATATTGTGCTTATTTTCCACATCAATACATGCAAATGATTCAAAAGATCGCGTGAAACGTCACTTCATTCCAGAGCTCTTGCTTAATCAGGCTTTTAAAATGTTATCTAGTAAAATTGTCAACCATTATGGTTTTAAAACTGTTAACCACTCTATAAAATATTTTGTAAAAAGCGTAGTAGTTGGCAGCCCTGCTAATGAAATGGCTAAAAGAATTCTGTTAGGGAAATCATGCTTCCAAAACACAAATATTGCACCATTTAGACATTTATCAATACTTTAATTCTGTATTTCACTAACGAGCTCTCTCTAGAAGCAACTCTTTTTCACACACTATTTTCTCCCACGAAAACATCTTAAAAGATTTAGTTTCAGTTAATATTGCTTAAGTTTATTGATTCTGAAAAGAAATCGCGGAAAACTTTCCCCATTTTTTACTTTTTTCCCCTCTCTCTTCCTCTCTGGTTTAGCGAGTCGCTGAGACCAGCAATTGTTGACATCTAAGACACCCTCCCCCACGCCATGAAAATGAAATTCTCCGTTGCCATGACTACCTGAATCGAGCTGCTTCTGCGATCACAGTATTTCTTCCTTATAAAGTACTGTGGTGAGAAAGTACTTCATGTGCCGTTTAAATCATAAATATAAAAGAAAATGAATAGTCGTGTCGTAAGAAATTCCTTGATATGATGTATGTTTAATAACAATTTTAGTTGCACTCCTTCAGAATCTTTTTGGGCATAATAATGCTGACCTTTTTCGACCTCACCAACTAAGCAAAATATTGCTTCAGTTTCTTTTTTTTTTTTTTTCGCAGAATATTTACATATACATGTTTACACCGGGATAAGCTGCTCATACTTATCTTGGGCAAAAATGTTTTTTAAAAAATTAAGAACTGAGAACTTATAATTTTTTTGAAAAATTTCACCATTGAATAAAAATCTATTCATCACTTAAAAAGTATTCCTGAGAACGCTAAAACATTATCACAGCATACAACTGATATAATTTCAAATATCGATATCGTAAGTAGTTTCTTAGAAAAGGTACTTCAAAAAAGGTCAGTTTTAGCATTATTGATGCATGCCCAACCGACTCCCCTTCAATGTGTATTTTCTAACGAATGATCACTCTTTTATGCTATTTTGCTTTGTTTACATCAAACTAAATACAGAACTACTTTTAATCTAGAGGAAGCATTAAAAAATGTAATCAAAATTTGCAACTTTTCTTTTCTTTAAATTCATTCTGTGATTTGAATTTTTATGCCTTTGAAACGTGCAAGAAACGTACAAAATATGTTCAGAAATCTTCCGTATGTCCTTCTTAAGTTTATAGAAAACAATGTCTTTAATTTTTGATATAGGGAAGAGTAGAGTAAGGTGAGACCGAGTTCGTTGATTTTTTTCGAAATGAGTTCCAAATTCTGGCGGACAGACTAGAAATTACATTTTACTAGGCAAGAAAAAGGAGTTGCCACAATAGCGTGTTGTTGTTGAATGCATGGCGTCTGCGTGGGTAGGTTTGTTACTCTCTAATATTCTTTTATTTTTAAATTACCCTTATTCAATGGTCATTACAGTTGTAAAAAATTTACTTTTCGCACGTTTACTCATGATTTCCTACTCTAACAAAAATAAGGCTTTAGTCCAATAGTAGTAGCATGCTTCTACTACGCTTCGGCTACGTCTCTTGGGGAAAGATCAGACAGTCAATTTACAATCCAGACTTTAAATTACTTTAACGACTCGCTCTCTCTTTTTTTTGTGGAGATTTTCTTATTAGATTCAGTGGGTCGCAATTATAATGCAACCTTTGATTTTTTTTAAAATTGTTATCTGAACTAAAAATAAAAGACAGGAATCAAGTTCTTTATTTTCAATTTAGGAAAATCCCAAACAGAAGAACGGGTCATTAAAAGTCGCTGGATTGGAAAATCGCAACCGGGCATGGTAAATTGAGGAATGACTGGGTACTATTCTCATGTAGTCCCGATTTAGAACATCATAAAAAAGAAGAAAAAAAGAACATGAAAAAAAAAAATTACTATCGAGGAAGAGAAAGTTATTTCGGAGGGACTAAAAAAAAGGAAAGCATTAAACCAAAGAGAGTAAAAAGAGGATAGTATGAATAACAAACTAAAAAAAAGCAGTTTCATCCACACACGAAAACATCATCAAGAATTTAGGAAAAATCCTAAGTCCTTGATTGATGTTTCTGTGGTTGAAGACGACACAAACTCAACATATGTTACTTGTTAATACTGTTTTTTCTAACTCAAAAAAAAAAAATGGAAGGAAGGTGGATCCAATGTAGAAAGTGAATGAGGGAAGAGAATCACGAGTGAATTTTGAACATAATATTCTTAAATTGCCATTAAAAATGCAAATGCATGTTACTTTTTTACTGAAATTCTAGCATTTCTATATTATTCCCACAGAGTTTACCTATTCACCCGGTCTTACCCGTGGTCTGATAGGTGACTTTTTTTAGAAAAAATATTTTATAAAAAAAAGTATTGCATCTACGACTTTTAAATCATCTCTTGCATATCTTGCTTAAATCTGACAATTTCTGAATGGAGCTCCAACTGTCCTTCGATTCTTACTCTACTTTCCTCTAAACATAATACAACGTATTTTTTTAAAGTAAAAATTAAACATTAATTTACCTTTGGAGTTCTTGCCCATTATTTTCTTGAAAAAAAATTAAAATAACATGCAAGCAGTAGTAAGGTGTCTTCATTAGGTGGTCTTAATGGATGCGATAAAATTCTGGTTGTTTAACCGCATTAGATGAAAGCAGTTGACAAAAGGTTTATCTCACAGTTACCTTATTGATTACCATCTTATTCATGGTTATTTGAATGTCTTCTTTGAATATGGTAAAATAATAAATAAATAAATTGTTATTTAAGCATTTTTCGGAGTTTAAGCAGTGGGTTTAACCCGATTCATCTAAAATGCAGATTTCAAACCAGGGCTTGGATTGTATTTGGATATTTATCTTTTTTATAATTTGACTTTTAAACACGTCATTATGTATTTCCTTATTACCCTTTGTATTAAAAATAGACAAATATTTTATAGAGATTATTTTTTGGTACCTGCTATAAAATTCCGATCATACGTGGCATTGATGCTCAATAAAAGGTTCAGCTATCTGGTTATTTCAAAAGCAACTTTGAATTCAAGCATTAAAAAAATTGTTCACATGAGGTAAAATCTGCACTAAACAATGTAACCGTAATTTTAAAGCAGAGAATTACTTCTCACTTCTTTTCATTAGCGTCCTTTCATTCATTAGAGACTAATTTAAATAAAATATACAATGGATTGTTCAATTATGATATTACAAACTTTCCTTTATTAGTTTTATGGAATATCCACCATCAAAACCGTGTCTCATTTATGATGAGTCGCAATATATAAAAAATAAACATAATGTATATGTCAAGATATTTAGAAAAAAAGTGTCTTTATTAATAAAGAAGGTACATATAAAATAATTTTTCTTATTATTCTTCCATTCTTCTAATTTCGATTTTGATATAAATAAATTATTTCGACAAAATCAGAATTTTTAATTTATATTTGTATTTATATAGAGAAATCTAAATTGCAAATTTTTCATTTTAGATCTGCGAAGCTCTTTATTCAAAATTATGTAAATTATATAATTTGTACGTAAAATAAACTTATTTTTACTGATAAACGAAGATAAATATAGCTTCGATTAGCAATCACATATAGATTTCGCAAATTCTAATAACATTTCCGAATTCGCTTCGGAATTTTTAGTATTTTTTTTAAATGTGTCTAAACCATTATTAATATTTCTTTACGCCACTCTTTAACTATCGCAAAACAATTCTGGAAAAAAGGTCATAGTTTCGATCTTTTCTTCGTCTCATATCATTCATAATCGTATTATATACATCGACTTGGATTTTTGGGAGAATTTTCATATAATCAAAAACAAAATGCATATTGTTAATGCTGCTATACCATATTTGTCACATATTCAGAAATCATTCATTTTTAAATTTTTAATTTTTCTGTCATTTTAATGCTTTAACTTTAACTGTATATTTATCTCTTTCGTAAGAAGTAACCTCTGTATCGTCTCTGTTTTTACCATTTATCCTACTTGACTTACTTAATCGTTGTGATACCGATACGCGTGTAAATTTTAATGAAAATCTTACCATTTGAGATTTTAAAACGTTGTTTTTAATGAAATTTTTTATTTCAGTAGTTACGAGTATATTAAGTTCTTAACTTTGACTACAAGTTTTTAAAATAAAGAAGATCTCAAAGTTTTCGGTGTGCGTGTGAGGGATCATATCGAACAATAATGATTTCTAAGAGTTTCAAAAAAATAAAACACTTCGGGTAAAATATTTTCAAATTAAAATTACCACTTATCTGAGACAGGCAAAGAACTAGTGGATCGGTAGTCCAAAAATTTCGGAACTTAAAGCAATTGGACCACTTGCCCACAGGAGGTTGATTTCACAGTGAAATATTTTACTATTGACAATAATACTAACCCCTAAAAATTGAATTCTTCCTACTTTTCAAATTGCAAGTTTTTTTTTTTTATTTTATCAAACTCTATAAATGTTGGATAGGAGAGCGTAAAGCGGATCTTAGGATAAGAATTCTTATTGGTTGATCCAAATCACTCAAAGAGTATCCAATAATTCACTACAAATTGAGATCGATAAAATTTGGAGTTTCAACTCATATGTGATCACATTTTTATTGCACTGAATAGCATAATTTATTTTAAAATCATTTACCTGACACTGTGTGAGGGGGAATGTTCAGGGTTATTTTTTCATCTTCATGATATTTCCTTTTTTAACCGCCAGACGTTTTCTAAAGAAATAAAGTTTACTTCAGTGGGACTAAACTATGCATGATAATTGTATAGAATGACTACTACATCGAACTAAAACAATTTTTTATAAAATAACTACACTATCAATGCTCCAACTAAACTAAATGTAAAAATATAGTATCATACTTATAACAATAAATAAAAGCACATTCTGTAATAATTTACTGCTCAATACAATAAATTCAGATTAAAATTCTGCAGTGTTTATACAAATTTTTCATAAAAATGTTCTTCAAGCTATTCAAAATTCAACTGTAAATGTAACTAAACTGTAAATGCGTTAATAGGTTATAAGTAAAAATAGTCGCTGCATTTGTAATTTTAAAAGAAAAAGGACTTAATACAAAATGTGTAAACCTGTTTGACGAGTCTGTATTTACTAGTTCTAAAGAAGATCTTTCATTTTCGTACCACTTGGTTTTTGTTCCTGTTCTCAGTATAAAATAAATTTTATACGTGAGGATTATGTTTTGAAAACTTAAATCATAAATATATGTTAAAAATCGGAAAAATTCAAAGGTATATAAAGCTATTATATTGTATCGGCAATAGGTTTTATTTAATGATTTATACATTAATGAATACAAACTTCTATTAAATTCTTACTTTTTTTTATTTTGTAATAAGCATAATATAGTTGAATCAACATGGCCGTTTGCAAATGGTTAAAACTTTTTATTTTATTTTATTGCATTTTATTATATTTTATTACATAGTTTTGACTTTAATGACATAAAACACGATTAATATTAACGGAAAAATACGAGAAGAAAGAAAATCATTTCAAGAACATCAAAAAAATATTTCGTGAAAATAAAAATTGCTTAAATTTAGTTAACATTCAAATTGCTAGAGTTTATATGAAAACAACTTATAGACCAGTGGTTACCAACTGGCGGCCCTTGGGCCGCATCCTGCCCATGAAGCCTTTTTTTGTAGCCCGTCAACTAAAATATATTAGTTGTTTCTTTTTTGCGGACAATTTTCGTAAAAAATCTATATAGGTTTTAAATACTTTTAAGTTTTATATCTTGACAATTTGGTATCTGCTGCACATTAATTGTTTAATACATAGATGCACATCAAAGTTACTGTAGCCAGAATTTTTTAATATGCAATTAAATATTTTTAAAAATCTACTTCTTATTTTAAATTGTAATTCAATACTCTTGTTTTGAACAACTTGATAAAAATCTGACAATAATAATTCATGTTCCTTTAAACATAAAAGAATCCTATATAAGATTTTGAGAAAGCTGCGGCCCGCCATTTGACTGGTGTTTTTAATTGCGGGCCCCGGCCTCATGTAAGTTGGAAACCCCTGGTATAGACTAGGCAGATCGAATAATGCATCCTAAAAAACATTCTAAACCAATATTGTTTTTAATGTTAGGATTTTTTATAATAGAACTTTTTATCTGATTTTTAGTATCTAAGATTTCGTTTTCAAGGAGTACCCATTAAAACTGTACTAAATTATTAAATTCAATTATTACTAAATGTTATAAAACTATCATTAAAACGTGTTTTTTGGTAGAATAGACAAATAAGTTCCGACAAGATTTTTCTTCTCAAAACTCCCAACCAAAATTCCCAAGTAAGAACCTTAAATGTTCCAGGAATGACTTAAAGTTAAAAATAACAAACATTTCATGAAACTCAATAGCAATAAGAAGTACTTTTGTTACATGAAACTTTGAATTCCTTGGTTACTGGGAACTTTCAATTTCACAAGTTTAGAGTTTTAATAAATTTCTGTGCAACGACTGTAGTGGTTGAAGGTGTTGCTTTTTAATATTAACCCATAGTGTAAAAGAATAATTTATCATGCTTCTGTAAGAAACGTGTTTAAATTAACTTTCAAATATTGCACAACCGAACTTTCAAAAACCGCACACACGTTTAACTTATCAGCGGTCGTTATTGTCTACGTTAAAACTCCCTACGCCTGCTGGTTAGCGCTTTACAGCCAAAACAAAAATTTAAAAAAACTCATACAATTAGCATTATACATTGCCGCAATTTAAACGTTTTTCTTTTTTCAGTTATTTAAAGATAAAATCTTGACTTTTGCGGGTTCAACAGCTCAATTTAATAAAATAAAAAAAAAGAGCTTTATTTGGAGTTCATAGCATGCTTTTATAAATTATTTGTCTTTGGATTTACATGCTTGGTTAAAATAAATGAAATAAAAATGTATATCATTTCCTGACGTATGGATGTGACGTCACCCAATAAGTAGGTTGAATATTTGATAAAAACACGATTTTCTCTTACGCCATATACTAATATTTTTAAAAGATGTTTCAATAAACTTAAATTACGAAAAGTTAACGGGAACTATTAAAATAATATTGAAGTTGTTTACTTAATGCCAAATGGTTAGGGAAATTGTGATTGTGGTAAATCTTAACAATACTTAAGATTCAGCCAATCTTATCTTAACCATATTATAAGAATAATACCATGTATTACATGTATACATAGAATAATGCTAACTAATTTTTCTTTCAGCGGATTGAATTTCTAAATATCAATATCACAAGCACTTATTTACTGAATTTATATACAGTTCATCATTTTTGTCAATAATGCACAGTGTCCAAAAAAAACGAACCACTTTTAATAACTTTTGATCTAAAGATTGAATTTTCACGTTCTAGAACTTAATCTTAATGGCTCAAAAGGGGGATCACAAATATGCTAATTAATTAGTGCAGACTATATTTTAAGTCACAAAATCCTACTTTCTCTGAATAAACATATTTTTATTACGACGTATTTGGATTTCTTACCTCCAAAATATAGGGGGGTAGCCACAATCTGGGAAATAGGGTCTCAATAGTTGCTGTAAGCCTCATGCTATACTTTGTGGTGCATGAGGAGTTTTAAGTCGTTTAAATAAAAAATAAAAAAAAAATAAAAATAGTTTGGTTAAGAAAGCGCTCCTAAATTTCGACTCATTAATGTTAATTTTTCTTTTTGCGTAGTTAGTTATTTCTCGAGAACTTTTTAAACAAATTGAATAAAATTCGTTTATCTAAGGATAAATCCATGCAAAAAATAACTTTTAGTTAATATTTATTACCTTTTATTATTTTATTTAAGAATGGTCGAAAAATTTTGATTTGTAAGATATACTAATGTAAATTTTTGGGTCATTTTAAAGAATTTTCATTAATTAAGATCATTTTAATTAATTTCGAGTTTTGAGCATCTGAGTTTTTTGAAATTCAATTTCTCAGGAACTATTCTACTGATTTCACTCAAATTTTGTATTTTGCATTTACATTCTTTCAAATGATGCGAACATTTTATACCTTACAATTAAAAAATTTTTCGACGATTCTTAAATAAAATAATAAAAAATTATAAATATTTGCAAAAAGTTAATTTTTGCATAGAATTATCTTGGGAAAAACAAATTGCACAATTGAGAGTAAAATTTTTTTAAATTTGCTTAGAAAGTTCTCAAGATATATCGAAATAAGCAAAAAGTAAAATTAATATTAAGGGGTCCAAACTTTGGAACTCTCTCCTGACCAAACTATATTATATTTCCCACATTGCGGCTACCCCTTATATTTTGGGGGTCAAAAATCCGAATCCGTCGAAAAAAAGGTACGTTTATTCAGAAAAAGTATGTTTTTGTGTCTGATTTCGTACATTAAAATATCGTCTGCACTTATTAATTAGCATATTTGAGTTCACCCCCTCGAGCCATTAAGTTTGAGTCCTAGAACGGGAAAATCCGATCACTAGACAAAAATTATTCAGAGTGGTCCGTTTTTTTAGGGAGAGGGGGGAGATTTTTTTAAAGGTAAGACTGGATAAAGTTGCTCGTTATTAAAAATAATTACATTCAAAAATAGTACTTAAAGGAAAGAAGAAAAAAAGAACCAGTCTCTGAACTGCCTTTCAGGAGGTTATGAAAAATATCTGTTTTTTGACACTTTTCAGCGACTTTTGTAGAATTTTGCTATTTGCCATCGTAGCAATAAACGGCAACTGAAAATGTACTAAATTCAAATATCTGTAGTTACTTTTTAAATTGGCAATGAAAAATTTTAACTTACTGGTTTTGGAATTTTTTTTTTTTCATTTTATATAGCTCAATAATTGTTACACTTTATATCCCACTCTATAGTGTGATAGATGAATTAATGGACTCTACACACCAACTCACGTGATTTCTTTTCACACACTTCTGTTTCTTCAAACAAAGCAGATTTCTCCTTTTTTTAGCGTTATACAAAGTATGAAACTACGATGTAAGTTTGGCGTTTCGCGCGATAACATCATTTTTATTTCACGGTTGAATTGCCACAAACCAACTCGAAATAATTTATTCGTACGCTCATGTAAAACCATGAATGTCAACATTTCCCCATCTATGACAGCTAATTTAGTCACATATTCACTAAAACGGTTAAATTGGCTGATTTTATCTGATTGAAGACAATTGGATGAAAAATGTTTCGCTGTTAGGGCACACTAAAACTGTGCAGTTGAGAAAAATTATTATTCAGAAAATAATGGCGCTTTTTGAGACCATTTATCTTCGAATTTATTCTTTTCATAGGATTTAGAGGTCGATAGCATTCGTTTATAGACAATTTGATCTATATGAGTGAAAACTTTTTACATCTTATTTTTAACCATCAGCAGTCAATTCAGAGACGTGAATTTCCTTCTGAATCAATGATTTAAAATTAAAATTTATTGGATTCTAAGCCAAACTTATACATTAGTATTCAATAATTGCAGTTGCTTAACTCTTTATAAGGCCTTATGAAGTAAATACCTTCCCACCAAATTCATTATTTTTTATAAGTAGATGAAAAGCAATATACATAATGCGATATCATCGATTGATAACTTTACAAAATAGACAACAAAACAAATACCAATGAGGAGGGAATTGTTTAGATAAACAATAAAGGTATACGTAGAGACAAGAAGAGGGGATAACTCAGAG